ACTGAGTGATATGGCTGGGTGTTGCAAACAGTGGCTCTCGTGCATCCACTCGTTATTTTCCTAGTACCACTCTTTATGTATTCCCCGTCTCACTCTATTTGTATTACCCGTCTTCCGCTTGAATTTGCTTCGACATTCCAATCTTAATTTCGCTTTTTTATCCAAATGGGCAACCAAAACCCGCGCATGAAAGTGCATGGTTAATGGTTGTAAAACGGAAACTGAAAACTGATTCAGCTGAGATGTGATACGAACCGTATTACTTGGCTTATTCAGAACAACCTTCAAATAATCTCTTTCGTTTTATTTTCTGGGATAAATGCATAAATAAGCAATCATTGCAGGGCGATATAAAGGAGGTAGCAACCATTAGACCACCCCTTGTCACATTTGAAATCGTGGCTGACTTTTTTTACCGCGTATCTCGTTTTGTTTCTTTCCAGTGTTATGATATCTTCAGTTCGCGCTCAATCTAGTTCTCTATCGCTGAAGTTGTTATCATCGTGTTACCTCTTTTTCATTGTGCTTATCGGATCAGACTACTGAAACGCACCTTATTTCTGAGTAAGGTTATCGGTTTTGTTCTCACCAGTTAGTCAACATGTGGTCCGTGAGTTAATCTGCTCCACTTCCATATGATCAAGTTTCTAGCCCTGTCACCTTTCCATTTCCTTCCCCAATAATCCGTACCACATGCCAGATTCTCTGTGCCTCAATCGGGTTCGTTTTATTCGGAAAAGCAACGATCTGTCATGTTTAAGCATTTTAATGTTTTTTTCCTTTCCTGTAGCTCTGCAGGATCCGAAAAACAAATAGTCTCAGTGTTTGATATTGAAGCTTCTATTTTGATAGCATCCTTAGCTTCCATCTTATTTATCATGAATTTATTCATTTTCCTCTTTGGGCTTAAAGAGGGGCTGAGGCGTGATGGATAAAGAGTGTAGGCGGGCGCATTAGTCGAAGATGAACCAGTTGCAAACCATTCGTCTAAACCCAATTCACTGTATGTATTATGGTTGATAGCAAATGTACATGGCGATCGATCGTCTGTATGCAGCTTTTTCAGTGTGCTACTGACGAACGTGATTGACTATTCTGTCATCCCACAATCGTTATTTTGTCGCTCTTCGATCGTATGTGTAGCAGTGCACGCGTGTGATGCCACGTCAGGTGCCGTTGGACGGCCGCATTCGGCTGGTTAACTGTNCAAATATCAGCCTGGTCTTCGGTCATTAGGTAGCCCGGGACTTTGCACGTTGTGAATCACAGTCCCACTCAGGTTGACTTCAGTGTCAACCACTTCTCCTCTTCCCCCCACACTACCCAATCATTCTTGGATGAGCAAGCATTATATATATATATATATATATATATATATATATAATCGTTACATATACGGTACCTATGTACCTACCAATTAAAAAAATAGAACATATTGTCGGGTCCCTAAATGCGCTCGTGGTCCTTCCTCTAGCGGACGTGGAATACTTTGTTATTGTACTCCATCATAACCGGAATTGGTTTGAACTGTTGATTGGGAAAATTGTTGCATCATCGAGGGAAAGGTTACACCCCGAACAATTTGGGTCTCTGGTGGTCAGCATTGAAGCTATTTTTAAATTTAGGTTTACAAATATATGGTCGGATTCTATATTTACTTCATTGTCGATCGCGGACTTATCTATGTGTATGACCGTCCACTTAGTTTCACAATCGGAGCCGATCATGGAGAAGACGCTTATCTCTGCAATCATGTTTACAATCACATTCTCCAAAAATGTTTCGGACAAATCTTTGCGAATCATCGTCTCGGAAGAGATCAATCCAAAAAGAGGAATCGATTCCAGTCCGATCGTCCAGTGTGCCGGTGTTTCATATTTCAAGCACCACTAACACCTTGAAATATGAAA